GTACAAACAGAAGTTGTTCATGTTAGTGACAAACAATAACAGTACAACAGCTTTTTGACAAGTTTAAAGTTTCTTTAAAATACATTCAAAATATTAAACAATAAACTGCAAAAATAATTTGATGAAGAGCAAATTAGCATAAAATTGTATCTGCAACTGTATTTGATAATGTTTTGAACTTTTAAAATACTGATAGAACTAGAAGCTGCTCTTTATATTAGTGACAAACTTTGGTGTTTTTTGACGGATTACCTTCATTTTTGCTCCTAGTTTTCATTTAAAATAAGTTTCCATTTTTGGCAGCTTTCTAAGTTTCTTCTTCTACATTAAAAAAAGTTGTTAAACATCTGAGTGGTGCACTACCCTACTAGTGGTGAGAAAGTGTATTGCACCTTATTCAAAATCAATGCTGCCCTACGGCCCTCTGCGGCCCAAAGTTAAAAACTGTTGTTCTTTTGAGGCCCTCAAGGTGGGCCGCGGCCCATAGGTTAAGAATCTCTGCTTTAGATCACAGTTTGAAACGCTCCGGCATTTTTAAAAAGAAAAACAACACGGACACTCTGATTACAGTGCGGGGCGAAAGTGAAAGTAAACTATGGTGCTGCGCACCTGTTCGGAAAAGAAACAGCTGTTCTTTCTCCCCTCATATTCCGACACAGRRDGTAGAAACAGCTAAATTAGACAGTTAAAACACATTTACAGTTCATAACTCATCCTTGTTGTTGTAACATTCATCCTGTGTTGTCCGCAAGCACTTTCCGCCCTGTTTTGGGTTCATTTCCTTGAAAAATAAAACTTAACCAGGCATTTTGAAGAAGCTCCGACGCTGGTAGTCTATGTAGATTAATCATGTGAGTTCACACACCCCAGAACCGAACGTTTTGACTTCTGAACTTGCATTTTCGGCATGACGCTATGAACTACAAAATCACACAGCGAGGAAAAAAATGGCGGACTATGAAATCCAATTGGCCTTTAAAGCTCATAATCTTACCACTTGAAACATCCCTAGCCCTGAAGCTGCTGGTAGACATCGCGGTTGGAATTATCAAAAGTTTTTGACACCTGAGAGACACTGCAGCAACTCCTTTGCGTTTGGAAGCAGGGGTGGGGGTGGGGGGAGGACCAGGGAGCATGATTCAACCACTCAACCACTAGATGTCGCTGAAAACAACAAATCCTACACACTGTGCCTTTAATCAGGAGTTATTGCTATAAAGAAACCCAATGCTGTATTTTACCTAAGAACAGTACATTTATGAGTTTTATGAGTTTGAATATTTCCTGCACTAATTAAAATCCATCCAGTGGTTCTTGAGATATTTTGCTAACAAACTGAGGTGACTTCTATAGTAAATAAAAAAATTGTAATAAAGTCACGCACAGTTAGCGTTCAGTTTAGGATGCGTCTCAGCTAAGACCATACGAAACTATAGGTTTGTATCTGTAAAATAATCATTTATCTGTAAGGTCCATAATGAATTGGGTTCATTCCAAAAGGTAATCAGGTTTAGATGTACACCCAATGAGACTCCCTGAGACTTTAATAAAAATGTATTTGGGGGTTCATGATCAGTGTTATTAACAGACCTGCACAGGTTAAAACATTATTTTCTGTTATTGCCTTTTGGCAGTGGGTGATGAAATGTAATTTATAATATGTTCACTTGTTGAAATTAAAAATTACTGACACAGGTCATTTCAGATAATTCTTGCTCCATTATAGTATTTTCAATCAAATGTATCATGCAGTGACACCATTACTGAGAAATGCAGACATCCCTGTGGATGACAGGGTCTTCTGTCTTGTTTTTGTGTGGAAGTGGTTGGTGTCCTTGCCACAGCCATGCTGACTTTAATAGTAGTCTTTTAGGAGCAAACTGGAATGGCAGGGAGTGTTCAGGCCAGTGGAGGTCACAGGCCTTTGCTATATTTACCAGCTCTGTAACCTGATCTGTGGCACTCTGGGCGACTGTGCTCACATTATCTGTCCTGTCACACTCTGGGTCCACTGTGTCCCAGTTAGCTCCCCCTTTACTTTCTGTGTGTTGACCTGGCTGCTCAGAACAAGGGTGAGTATTTTAAAACACTACTTAAACCATCTGTTTTTATTTTTGTGTTATTTACCTGCTTGTTGTTAAGTTCAGGTGTGTATTTATATATTCCTGTTTACACCAGAATCAAGAATATGGGTTAAAATTACAGAAAGTTTCTAATTTTTTTTTTTTTTTGCATGAGTAACCAAACTTCAGATTGTGTACACGGTTAAAAAAGAGTTTATTGTCTAAAAGACAGTAATGTTTTGTCCGTATCTGTGTGTGTTTGTTTGTGGTGTTAGCACAAGGACCACTAAACATTTGGTGGTCTCATGGACCACCAAACATATTTTAATGAAGTTTTCAAATATCACTGGATGTACATCTCCAAAGGATTAACTTTTAGAGTTTAAAACAGCTGCAACCGCAAATGAACCCAAACCAACACAAAACTGGCTCTAACTCGTTCAAATTAATTAAGCTATATTTAGGTGTGGTAGTAACTTAGAGTTGTCTTCAATACAGTCTTCAAGCTCTAATAGATCATGACATCTGCAATGTCACATGATGGCATGCATGTCATTGGTTTAACAAAACTATTACAACTGTAATTTCTTAATATAATATTATGAAAGTTGACTGGTAATATGCATTCTTTCATAAAGTGATAAGCTTTTCATTTTTAGCATCAGCTGTTTGTGATAAGGAAAATGCACAGTTGCACAAGTGTTTTCATTGTATGATCTGATTAATGCATTAATTATCTGTCAGGCATGATGGTAAAATAATGTCTTCAGTGAGGACCTGCGTGTTCACATACATGTAAAGTTGTATGGGTTGTCTGTAAATTACATGGATTTCGCCCCATTTTCCATGTCTATAAATGTTTAGAGAAAATCTGATATTTTTTTCTTTTTCCAAAGCTCAGCTCCAAATGTGTTTTATATCTCAGAGCAGACCTGGAAATGCTAAGTTTGCCCCCTCGTCCTCCTCCCCTCATGTGCTGCTGCAGAACCACCCCACCACCCCCACCCCGGCCATTATCCACCTACTGCACATCAGGTGGTAGTGGTAGTACCCCTACAACCACTTCACCCCAGTGTATTGTGTCAGTCCTCTGAAATGTTTGTGAAATTTACTGTTTTCTGAAGGTTAGTATATAGGTAAATGTCTGAAGTATGACATATACCAGTTCATGTCATTCAAAACATATCTGCCTTAAAGGGGACATGTCTGTAAAATCCACTTTTTTAGCTGTTAAATGCATTTTATGGGACTTGGAGTCTCTAGGAGGCAGAAAATTAGAATTTAGTCTCCTAGAGCTGCACATCTTTATGTTTGAGTCAGATTTTTCACCCCGTTCTGTTTTCTGTTTTCTATGATTCTTTTTTTATTATTATTATTTTTACTATTATGTAAAAAATTTTTTGCAATGGAATCACCAAATAAGGTCTGGACTTACCAACTACAATTTTGACATCTTCATTCTCCTCTGGTTCTGAGTCAGACTCTGGTTCTGGGTCAGACTCTGGTTCTGAGTCAGACTCTGGTTCTGAGTCAGACTCTGGTTCTGAGTCAGACTCTGGCTCCAACATGTAAGGCTGGATGGACAAGTCTTCTGTTGTCCACACCTTTTAATTATTTGTAAATAAAATGTTTCTGCGATGCTACATAAACGCTAACCTCTCTCTCAGACTGGGGTAAAATGGTCTGGAAGCTGGAGCGGGCCAGGGTGTGAAGTTCCTCGTTTATAAAGGGACAGCATCAAAACGAGTCACCTTGAGACATACAGTACCTCAGAAAATTGGTGAAAGAGGGTCTAGTAAAGTTAAAATAAGGAGGAATTCAGACCAAAACTTTGTTGTTTCAATTTATATAGACTCCAACTGAGTGATTTAAAAGTTAAAAAGAAGAAATTATATCTGCAAAATCCACTTTTTAGCCGTTAAGTACCTTTGTTGTACTTGGAGTCTCTAGGAGGCATAAAAGTTGAATTTAGTCTCCTGGAGCCTCATGTATAAACGGTGCGTACGCACAAAACAATTACGTGCGCCAGGTTCTACGCCCACGTTGGGACGTATCCAAACCAACGTTGCGTGAAAGTGTGCGTATATTTACACACACTTTTCACCTGCCGTGAGAATGTGCGGCAGCCACGCAAAGTTTTTCAGCCGACAGTGTTAAATCACAAAGTCATGAATCTGACCTGAATCCACAGAAATATGACTTTGTTGTGTTTTCTGGATGTAAAGAGCATGCATGGTGTCAGATTTTTTTTTTTTAGTTTGAGTTTTTATTATTTAAACTGAACGATGATGGGTGGCTGGGCTCTCCCTTAGAGATAGGGTGAGAAGCTCGATCATCCGGGAGGGACTCAGAGTAGAGCCGCTGCTCCTCCACGTCGAGAGGAGCCAGTTGAGGTGGCTCGGGCATCTGGTAAGGATGCCTCCTGGATGCCTCCCTGGTGAGGCATTCCGGGCACGTCCCACCTGGAGGAGGCCCAGAGGAAGACCCAGGACACGCTGGAGGGACTATGTCTCTCGGCTGGCCTGGGAACACCTTGGAGTTCCCCCGGAGGAGCTGGAAGAAGTGGCTGGGGAGAGGGAGGTCTGGGCCTCCCTTCTGAAGCTGCTGCCCCCGCGACCCGACCCCGGATAGGCGGAAGAAAATGGATGGATGGATGAACGATGATGAAACTGAACCCCGGGACTGAAAATCATTTAGCCTCAGACAAGAAAATAGATCAGTCTAAAAATGATCAAAGAACCTCAGTCCAGTCTGTAAACTGGTTTTATATTTTTGTCGTAATTGAAAACCTTTTGGGTCCCGGGCCGGAAAAACCCGACACATTACGTGCGGCATAAAATAAAATAAAATAAAAAAGGCTGAAGAGAGGGAGCAAAAATCGGATGCAAATGGTGGCTCACTGTATGGTAACAATAATTATTTTTTCTGTGTGTAGCCTTCTGGCTGATGCTGAGTTGAGATGTGGCCGGAGCGCAGCAGCTGCGCTTTGCGTAGATTCTCGCGCCAGGCGCGTGCACCCTCGCCAGTTGGGAAAGTGTTCAGACAGTATATGTCAACCCCTTTGGACATTTACCTGTCTAACGAGCCTCAAAAATCTATATTTTTTACTAAAAATCTGTAGGCTACGTACCCGCTCGTGGGGGTGGGGTGGGGGTCTGTGGAGATGACAGCGCCTGCTGTAACGCAGGAGGAAAGGAGAGAGGAAAAAGTGGATAACGTAATGTTTATTGTTTTTTTTTTATTTTCATTTTTATTTTTTTTAAACGTCCGTTCAACGCTGTGTTCAACTAAATAGACAACAGACTTCAACATCACATTCGGGAGATGTCTGTAAATTTCAGGAAAATCTCAGGCTTTGGTTATCCCGTGCGAATGCGCCACATAAAACAATGACACCCCACTACTTAGACAGTTTTCTAACTCATTCTCTGTTTAATGTATAAATCATTTCTGATCCCACAGAGAGGAATTGGAGGAGAATCTCACACGCTGGACACATTTACATCTATTTTACATATTTAAATGGAGGTGTGTCAGCGGAGGTGTCTCAGGTGCGCTCAGTTCCACGTTCATTGGGATGTATCAAGGAAAGCTGCGCAGGAACATGCGTACGCATGGATTTATACATCTGTATATTTTGGTGCGGCGCACATTTCTAAATTTGTCCATACGTCAACTTTTAGTGTGAAAGCTGCGCACTCCTTTATGCATGAGGCCCAAGGGGCCTCATGTATCAACAGTGCGTACGCACAAAAATCGTGCGTACGTCATTATCCACACAAAACTCCGGATGTTTCAAAACTCAACTGAACGTGGAAATGTGCACAGCCCCACACCAACTCCAGGGCTGGTGTCACATGTTTCTGTGGTTCTGGTTCCATTGGAGACACTTAGAGGTGATTCTGAGAAACTGTTCATGATGTGAAAATGATTATTGTTCACAGCAGACACACATGATTAACAATTATTACATCCACATGATTAACAGTTATTACATCCACATGATTAACAATTATCACATCCACATGATTAACGAT